TTGCCATTAATCCAACCGCTGTGTTCTCGGGCATGTGCGCCCTGCCTTCGCTGAGCCTCAGTTTCCGTTTTAATACTAAGGAGGCCTCAGGGCTGAGATCTGATGCACTGTGACTTTTGGCTCTAACAGGCTCCCTCCAGGGGGGGGCTGGACAGACCCTCCTCACAGTGCAGCCCTGAACGCCCCGCCCCGGGGCCCAGCCGCCTCCAGCTTGGACCAGAGCCACTTCTTTGCTCAGGACTCCATTTGCCTCATGTGTCCAGTGGTGGCTGTGGCTGAGGTCCTCACGGGGGCAGTGTTCTTGGTGCATGCCCCTCCCCACCCCTCTCCCCCAAACCCACGCCCAGAGTCTGCCTGCAGCCCTGGCCCTGAGGCCTACCCTGCAAAGCAGAAGGCTTTGACTGGGCCGCTGATGCTTGGCTGGAGGAGGGCAGTGGGACTCTGGGTCTCAATAGCTCCAGTTCCAGGGTAGGAAAGATGTCCAGCGCCCTCCCACCCCCACCCCCACCCGGGGAGCCCTCTCATGCCTGCCCCACCCTTCCTCCCAGACGGCTGCCGGCTCTCTGGACGCCCTCTGCTCGGCCCCCACGACTGCCGCCACCACCCAGCTGGGGCCCTATGCCTTCAAGATCCCGCTGTCCATCCGCCAGAAGATCTGCAGTAGCCTGGACGCCCCCAGTGCCCGGGGCAATGACTGGCGGCTGCTGGCCCAGAAGCTTTCCGTGGACCGGTGAGACTCACGCCTGCCCCTCCCAAGCCAGCGCACACACAGCACCCGCTGTCCCGCGGGGCTCGCTGGGGCAGCGGGGGCCTTCATCATACCCGTGCTCAGTTCCACTCTCCCTCCGACACCCGTTCAGCTCAGGGTGGGAGCCTCGGTGCCTCCACATGTAAATGTCTGTCCGTGCAGGACTGCAGAGAGAATCCTGCTGCCTCCGCTGGTCCCCCTCTCTACCTCCTGCCTCCACCCAGCCGCTTCCTTTGCCTTCTTCTTTTGTGCTGACCCCTCTGATTGTATACTGTCTTCTCCTCGCCCAAAGATGAGGCTGGCTATCAGCAACCCCGCCTCCCCCCCTCACGAAGAGCCCCAGCCCCAGAATCCCACGGGGCAGTTCCCCACCGCCCTGCGGGCCCGCCCTGAGCCCGAATTGGGGAGGGGGGCTGCCTGCATCTCCCCCCACCTTCCAGTCCCCAGGGCCCCAGTGTCTTGCTCTCTCTCTGCCAGGTACCTGAACTACTTTGCCACCAAAGTGAGTCCCACGGGCGTGATCCTGGACCTCTGGGAAGCTCTGCAGCAGGACGACGGGGACCTCAACAGCCTGGCAAGTGCCTTGGAGGAGATGGGCAAGAGTGAGATGCTGGTGGCCATGACGACAGATGGGGACTGCTGAGCCGCCTGGGACTCGCTCAGCTGGCAGGACCACAGGAGGCGGGCGAAGGGAGGCTGGCGGGCAGCCTCAATGGGGCCGCCACTCAGCCCTGTGGCTGCTCTCCTCCACCCCTGACCACGACCAGCCTTACAAAATCCATGTACTCTCTGTTGTCCAAGGACCAAGGTGTTTCTCCACCTGCCCGTCTCTCTCTCTCTCTCTCTCTCTCTCTTTCTCTCTATCTATCTATCTATCTCTGGCCCCAGCCCTCCACGCAGGGATGAGGAGTGGACGGGGGCTTCTGTCAGGGAAGGCGGGGCTCTCCCCCGGCCCCCCACCCCCACCCCGGGCCCGGAACCCTGTGTTCCTGCACATGTCAATCCTTCCTCGGCTGTTGGTCTCTGCCCTCCCTCGTCCCCTCCCCTCTCACGCCGTTCTCCTCTCTGACGAGCTGAGTGCTGTCCATTCAGATGGCGTTCTCCTGTCCAAACAGAAGGAACGGAGAAGGGGCGCTTCAGGCGTGCTCCGGAAGCTCATGAAGAAGAAAGCCACCAAGCCACACGGGAAAGGAAGCCCCGTTTCCTAGGAAACGCAGATGATTTATTATCCAGATACTTGGATAAGTCCTTTTTAAGAAAAAGAAATACACAAAAAATTAGAAACCTCTTTTCTTGAGTGGACGAGAGTGGGCATGCGCATGGTTCTGGCCAAGTGTGTGTGTGTGTGTGTGTGTGTGTGTGTGTGTGTGCACGTGAGCAGGCATGTGCGTGGCACTGAATAGGGAACACGTTTCTATTGATGAGATTGATTATGCCTCCGTTTCCCCAGCCTGGGTTGAGCTGTAGGACCATGCTGCCCTTGAAAATGGGCATCTGTGATGGTGAGGGTCATGGTGAACCCCAAGCAGGCACCCTCAGGCCCTTAGATTCAGAAGTTGGGGGCAGGCGGGCCTGGGCAGCTCTGAGCCAGGGAGATGCCTGATGATACCTGGGAAGGGGTGTGCCCCAGAAGTAAGGGGATCCTCCTGGATCCCTCTGCCCTACAGTGTCCATAGGGAGCCAGGACCCCTGGGCTGGGAGCAGGAGTCCAGAGGGTCCCCCTCACGCCTCAGTTTCCTTCTGCAGAAGAGCTGGGTGGGGTGGAGGGGCCTGTGCTCCTGGACCAGGCTGGCTCTGAGGAGGAAGAAGCAGTCACTGCCCTCGCTCAGGGTGGGAGCACTGGAGGAGGATGGGAGGGGAGCACTTTCCCAGCTCTGATCTCCTCCGGGCCCTCCCTTTAATCCTCTCCCCACCCTCAGCAGTGTGGGAGATCACCAAGTCACTTCCTGAACAGGGCTGGGTGTTCAGGGTGCGAGGACTGGGACCCGGACCGGCCTGTTCCAAAATGTTCCAAGAAGCCAGCAGGGTCTGAAGTATGGGTGGGTGGGTGAGTGAGCCCATGTCCCTTTTCTGGGGCTAAGACTGGACCAGGATCTGCAGCCGCTGCAGACCATGCATCAAAGGCCTCTCCTGGGCTCAGGGCCAGGCGAGCTCCCTCGCTGCTCTGGGCCCTGACCCCCAGGCTCGTCCCAGCAGGTTCCCGAACAGCTTTCAGGGGCAACCTGGGTACATCCTGTCCTTGGAAGAATGCTTCCAAGAGGAGAGCGTCAGCCTGGCTTCCCTGTCTGAAGCCTCAGGTTTGTGAGGTGCCCCGCTGCCCAGCAGGCCCCAGGAGTGGAGCTAGCCAAGGGCAGCCTGCCAGCAGCTTCAAGGGGAAAGAGTCTGTCTCGGGGCTTCTGGAGGGGCCAGGCCTGCACCGGGCTCCCAAGGCCAATAGTAAGGTGCTCTGCCCTGGTACCTGCAGGGCACTGCCCTGGACACAGCCCGTGCGACTTCCCTGTCTGGGCTCCCTGAGTGCTGTGGGCCTTGGTGAGCGGGGCTTTGGGCTGCGAGGGAAATGCCTGTGTGTGGTCCGCGAGTCCACAGACCAGGAGGGGGTCCAGCTTTGCCATTAATCCAACCGCTGTGTTCTCGGGCATGTGCGCCCTGCCTTCGCTGAGCCTCAGTTTCCGTTTTAATACTAAGGAGGCCTCAGGGCTGCTATCTGATGCACTGTGACTTTTGGCTCTAACAGGCTCCCTCCAAGATCGTCCCCCGAGCTGCCATAGCCATAGCGCTGTCCTCCCCAGCCACGCCCAGACGACAGCTCAGGGAGGTCAGTCCGGCCACCGGCTGGCACTGGCTCTAGGCTGATTCCTAGAAATTGTGAACCAGGGCCTGGGGCATAGACCCGACTGGTTGCATCCTCCCGGGAGGGCGCAGACTGCCCAGGTCTACAAGAAACACCCGGAAAGGGTGTTTTGGTTCCTTCCGGCAGCCGTGAAGGCATAGTCACACCCCCACCAGCTGCCTCCCTGCTGGGAATAGCCCGTCCTCTTCCTCAGGCCTGAGGGTCATTCCAGGGCACCTGGTCCCAGAGAACGGCCGATGAGACGCGCCGTGGCCTGTGGGAGGTCGCTGGTCTCTGCAGAGTGCTTGCATGTGTGCTGTGTGCGTGCTGTGTGTGCGTGAGCTTGTCTGTGGGCACACTGGGGTGCCCCTCAGGAATGTGTGTGTCCCCGCCTGTGTGAGCTGTGTGCCTGGAGGCTGGCATGCCCCCCCATGTCCTGAACTCCAGCTCAACAGGGTCAGTCAGTGTAGCTTCCACGTGCCTCTCCCTCTGCCTTCCCTCAGGCGGTACCCCAGGCTCCGAGGAGGTGGGGGATCCTTCCCATCTCCCAGACAACCTAGAGCCTCTGGTCCTTCTGGCACCAGGTGGCTGAGCCGGGGCCATTAGGAGGTCCTTGAGGGGGCTGGGTACAGGGAGCAGCCCCCCTGGAGGGAAGGGCTGGGCCCCTGCCTGGGCCATGGACATGGCTCTATGTCCAGGGGTCCAGAAATGGCCCCATCCCACCTGTTTATTCTGTAAACTACTACCTGTAAATACTGTTTAGCATTCCAATTGTCACAAAGTTAATTTTTATTAAATTATATTTCCTAGTCTAATAAAAATTTTTAAAAAAACCAAAGAGGTCTGTGTTCTGCTGTGTTCTTGGCTGTCTTTCTGTCGGCAGTTAAGGCTGGCCTTGCGGCGCTTCTCGCCATCCCACAGTGGGAGAGTCACCGTTGTCAGAGCTCCAAGGCCAACTGCCCCTTTCATAGAAGGGACATTCCCAGAGGGGGGAGGGAGTCCCCTGGGAGCACACAGCGTGTCAGGGCTGGGCTGGATCTCCCTCCCTGCTCTTCAGGGAATGTTGTACGCTGTTAGGTGCTGTCGAATCTGCTCTGATCCCTAGTGGTCCTGTGTGCCGCGAAGGAAAGACCGCCGTGTGCCAGCCTCACACTTGCCCAGTCTTTGAGCCCCCTATTGCTGCCACACGGTCAGGACATCTTGTTGAGAGTCCTCTTTTTTGCTGCCCCTCTACTTTAGCAGCACGATGTCTGTGTTAGGCAGGGTTCTCCGGAGAAGGAAAACTAGGACGCTTAAGAATATATATGGACAGATACACAGCTAGAAGGAAGAGGACAGCCACTTAGTCCGCGCAGCAGTACAGAGGGTTCAGTTCAACTCACTCCCATGGAGCAGTTAATATACTGGAAGTCCTTCACCTCACGTGGGCTGCCAGGTCCAGGGTCAAGGAAGCACACCGTGGAGCTCTCCCTCCTGCGAGGCAGGCAGTCTGCCCACAGGCAGCAAACAGCAGGGCGGGTCAGCAACCGTCAGTAGCGTGGGAGCTTAGTGACGCAGGCCCTGATGGGATATTGATCACAGTCAATGCATGGCGACAGGATCCACCAGCCTCAAGTTCAAGCAGTGTGCACACCAGCAGCTTGGCAAAACAGGTCTCGAAAGAGCCTCAAGCTTAGGAATGCAATCCATGGGCTGGCTTGGCCCACAGGTGGTGTAGCTCACAGGCTGAGGCAGAGAACTAGCTAAAGCAGCAGCAGGCAAACTCCAGCACGCTCTGATCACCAGAGCGCAAGAGTGAGGTGGGAGGGCCGTGAAGAGCCATTTATCTCTTTGCTCTTCAAACCAAATGTTTTTATTGGCCAGCTTGGCACAATAAACCTAACTATCACAACGTCCTCTCTTCTGCAACATGTCCAAAGTACGTGAGACCAAGTCTCACCATCCTTGCCTCGAAGGAACATTCAGGCCGTACTTCTTCCGAGGTAGGTTTGTTTGTCCTTTAGGAAGTCCGTGGTACTTTCGAGATTCTTCACCAGCACCATAATTTAAAGGCATCTGTTCTTCTTTGGTCTTCCTTATTCAGTGTCCAACTTTCACACGTGTGAAAGGAATGCGATGGAAGATACCATGGCTTGTGTCACGAAGCTTTTCAAGACTTTAAAGAGTTCTTGAGCGGCAGATTTACCCAATACAACACATCTGTGATCTTCTGAATGTGCTTCCATACGCATTGGTTGTAGAGCCAAGCAAGACACACCCCGACACCTTCAATCTTTTCTCCATCTATCCTGATGCTACACAATGATCCCATCTTGAGTTCGGGTTTTCTTTCCATTGAATTGTAGCCCATACCGAAAGCTGCAATCCTTGGGCTTCCTCGGCAAATGTTTCTAGTCCGCCTCAATTTCAGCAAGCAAGCTGTGTCATCTGCATATTGTTCGGAGAAAGCCTTCCTCCGAACCTGAGGCCACATTCCTTTTCCTATAATCCCGCTTCTCTGATGGTTTACTCAGCATACAGATTGAGCAAGAGTGGTGAGAGGATACGGCCCTATGGCACACCTTTCTGGATTTTTCCAGATGTTAAACTACGCAGGATTACTCCCTCATGCCATTTGCACAACTGTCTCCTGATCCGCTTGAGCACAATGAAGTGCCGTGGACTTGCCCTTCTTCTCAAGGCTGTCCACAGTTCTCCACGGTCCACAGCCCGATGCGTCTGCACAGTCAAAAAGCACAAGTAAACATCTTTCTGGTATTCTCTGCCTTCAGCCAAGATCCATCTGACATCAGCAACGACATCCCTTGTTCCACGTTCGCTTCTGAATCTAGGCTGAACCTCTGACTACTCCCATTGTGTCCATGAACTGTTGCAACTGTTCTTGGACGATCTTCAACAAAATTTTACTAGCCTGTGATATTAATGATGTTGTTCTATAATTTGAGCATTCTGTTGGCCACGTGCCTCTGGAACGGGTACAAATATGGATCTCTTCTTGTCAGTTGGCCAGGTAGCTGTCTTCCAAAGTCCCTGGCCTAGACAAGTGAGTGCTCCCAGTGCTCCATCAGCTGGCTGAAACTCTTCCATTGGGATCCCATCAATTCCTGGAGCCTTGTTTTTGGCTAATGCCTTCCATGCATCTTGGATGTCTTCCTACCAGTGGTTCTTGCTCATGTGCTACTTCTTGAAAGGGAATGGTGACTAGTTCTTTTTGGTACAGTGACTCTGTAGTCTTTCTATCTTCTAGATGCTTCGGCATCATGCAGTATTCTGCCCATAGACTCTTTGAATCGTGAAACTCGAGACTTGACTTTTTTCTGGAGGTCTTCCCATGTTCTTCCTTTGGGGTCTTCTAGCTGGGGGCCCGTGTGCATTTCATCACAGTGTGTTACTTTTGCCTTTCTCCGGCCGCCCTTTGGAATGTTCTGCTCGGCTCCTTGACCTCATTGTTTCATCCATGTGCCTTAACTGCTCGCTGATCAAGAGCAATCCCAGGGTCCCTACGACACCCACTCAGGACCTGTCCTCCCGCAGCTCATCGGCTCTGCTGTCACGAGGGTGCAGGTTCTTGAGACGTCCTCAAAGTCCAGGTGGGATAGACCCCAGGTCGTCTTTGGGCTGCCGTGTTTTCATTTTCTCCCGCTTCAACCTGGATTTGCATGTGAGCAGTTGGTCTATTCCAGCATCGGCCCCAGGCCTGGTTTTAGGTGCTGACACTGAGCTTCTCCATAGTCCCTTCCCACAGACGCAGTGAAATGGATGCCTGTGTCTTCCACCTGGGGAAGTCACTCTGGGTGATGCTGCTGGTATGTGAGATACCAGTGACAGACAGCTTTCAGCATCACAGCAAAACGCAAGTACAGCAAGCTGACAGACACGTGGTGGTGTGGACCGTTAGGGGTCAGTCATTGATGTCTGCATGGCCTACGTGATGAGGGGCGAGTACACTGAGGTGAAGCCCCAGCATCCCTGCCTGTCTGAGTTCAGAAGTCTGTATCAGGCTCCGGCCGAGTTCTGCGGGTAGAAAGGGAAGGTGAGTTGGCTGAGCTCATGTGTTACCGTGTGTTTCCAGCAGATGGCAGCAAATGGTCATGTTTTAATATACTAATAAACTCACTGCCAGTGACCCTCCCTAAGGTTCCCAAGTCTGTAAAACTTTACAGAAGTAGACAACCTCATCTGCTGGGAAGCAGCTGGTGGGTTTGAACCACCGACCTTGTCGTTATTAGTCCGACACGGACTACCAGGCCTCCTCACACAACATTGGTGTTCATTTCCCTAAACAGGGAAAACCAAACATTCCCTGCCATCAAGTCGGTTCTGATGCATCGTGACCCTGTAGGACAGGGTAGAGCGGCCTCTGTGGGTTTCCCAGACTGTAACTACAGGAGTAGAAAGCCTGGGCGTTCTCCCACGGAGGCTTTCCCACTGCTGACCCGGGGAATGCTGCTGTTTTCTAACTCACACGGCGGCGCCTACACCAGGCAGGACCCCTCTGCAAAGGGCCTCTGGCTGCTGTGGTCCTAAAAGTTGGGGTCCTGGTTCTGGGCAAAGGAGCCCTGGTCACACTGAGTTAGGGGTTGGTCTGCTAACCTCAGGGGCAGAGGCTCAAGCCCACCCACCACTCCCAGGGAGAGGGACGAGGCCGGTCTGCTCCCATAAAGATTTGCCAAGCCTCGGACACCTGATATAGGGCTCTCAAGGGGTTGGATCCAATGTGATGGCCATGGGGTTGGGCTGGGGTGGGTTCCAGGCATGGGCCAGGCCCAGGCCCAGGGGTGGGGCGGAAATCAGGAGAACGTGGAAGATGGGCTGGCCTTCCCCTCTCGGGGCCCCATTCTGGCACTGCTGGAACAGCATGGTGACATGGCACGGCTGAGCAAGCTTTGAACCCATGGGAACCAGCTGCCCTCGGGTTAATTCTCGTTCACGTGGCCCCACTGTCAGAGCAGAGCTCTGTCCCCGCGGCTGCTAAGTCGCCAAGCCTGTCTCCTGAGGGGCCCCTGGGCGGGTTCGAACTGCCAGCCTTTCTGTTCATCGCTCATGCTTCTCCGCAGAAGGGAAACGCAGCACTGACTTGAGAAAAGACTCACACAAGTCTCAAAAACATTTTCCCATTTTAAGTGAAGCTGCAATACATGCCTGTGGGGGATGCAAGAGGCACAAAAGAGCAGGCACAAAGCAGCCCCCCACCCCGTCCCTTCCTCTTCTCTCACCAGTCCCAATCCAGAGCAGCAGGTGGTACATGTCTTATCCACCCTCTCAGGAAGCTCTGTGCATATACAGACGTGTATTTATACACGTGACTATTTCTTTTCTTTTTTTTCATGTTTATTTTTATTTATTTATTTTTTAACATTTTATTAGGGGCTCATACAACTGTTATCCCAATCCATACACACATCAATTGTGTAA